TCCTCGGTCCTGAGAAGAGCAAGGCCACACCCACTGCCTCTGGCTGCTGATGGTCTGTGGAGATGTCTCCCTCGGGGGCAGCAGGGACAGAGCAGCTGAGAGCTTCCCAAACAGCGGGCAGCGGCTTCAGGATTGGGAGCTCCTGGTGCTCCTCAGCCTTCCCACCCATCTCCCCAGACCAGCTGGCTGCAGGGCTCCAGGACCCCTTGGGCATGCCCAGGCCCTCGCAGACCCCGGGAGCACCGGGTCTGGGCCCAGCAAACAGTGCTTGCGAGCAGAGTCTGCCCCAGAGAGGCCTGGCCGTGGCCAAAGGTTGCTCTCTGGGAGCCACTGTGGGGCGGGAGGGACCTGTGGCCAGCGTTCCCGGCGTCCCGCCCTGCCTTTCAGCAGGGAAACCTTGTTCCACACGCCAAAACCACGCCCCATGGCCAGATTTTATTCCGCTTTGTTTCTTGATTTTGTGAGAAGCTGTACAAAGTTAGGGAAATTGAATCACACTGGGTAACATATTTGATAACTACCCTCTGCTGCTAAGAATAAAATGTTACGGACTCGAGTATGCCCTGAACTTATCAACTGTCGGGGAGACGGGCCTAGAAAGTAATTAGCAATCTTGTCCCCCAGACCCGGGCTCAGAAAGGGGCCCAGGCTGCTCCTGAGGGCAGATGGGGAGCCAGCACTCCAGCACGTGTCACTTCTCCACACTGTCCATCCACAGGAGAAAGCGGTCCGCACTGCGACAGGGCCCTCTGTGACCTCTCCAAGCTCTGGCCCCGGCACCAGAATCCCTTGGCAGCCCAGGGATGGGGCAGAGGCTCCTGCCCGGCCGGGGTCCTGCCACCATTTGTCTGGCCACAGCCCAGGGATGGGGCGGAGGCTCCTGCCCGGCGGGGGTCCTGCAGCCCAGGCAGCTGCTGCCAGGGTGGCTCCCCCACGGAACCCAGGGCAGGGAGGCCTCTGCCTTTGCCCCTTCCCCCAGCCTGACCACTCCCTTCCGGCCTCTCTTGCAGCTGATCAAAGAGAAACTATTAGACCTGCTGGGCAAAGAAGAGGATGAAGGGAGCCCCGAAGAGAACGTGGTAAGGGCGGCTTGTGGGTTGGAGGCCAATTGGCTCCTCTGGTCTATACAGGGGACGTGAAACCAGATACGGGGCCAGAGCAGGAGGGGCGGAGTGGAAGGGACCCAGGCTCCGGACGGAGCTGGCCTGGCTGGGTCCCAGGTCCCTGCTTCTGAGCTGTGTGCCTGGGGACAGGTCCCTATCTCCCTGAGCATCTGCCTCTTCGCAGGGACCTGGGGTGGAAGCAGGTTGGGGCGGGGTGGAGGGGTGTCATTCAGATGAGGGAGACCAGCCTATGAAACAATCAGCATGCCTAGTGGGGTTTTTAATATACTTTTATTGATTTCAGAGAGGAAGGGGGAGGGAGAGAGAGAAACGTCAGTGATGAGAGAGGACCATTGATCCACTGCCTCCTGCACGCCCCCTACTGAGGATCCAGCTGCCACAACCCAGGCATGTGCCTTGACTGGGAATCGAACCTTGACCTCCGGGTTCATAGGTCGATGCTCAACCACTGAGCCACACTGGCCGGGCAGCATGCCTAATTTATAGTAAGTGCTCAGCAAGTTCAGGTTCCCCCACTTTCCTTCTGCCTCTGAAATGTCTTAGTCATAGGTTCCCCCTCTATCCTTCCCCCTCCTGCAGTATCGTCCTCATCGAGTCTCTCCAATTTCTTAGCACGGCCTCCTGGCCAGTCTCTGCTCCCAGCCCTCACTGCTTCCCACCCAGAGCAGCGTGGGACAGCCTGGGGGTCTCCTGGAAGATCCTCGGTCTCTCGGCCACACCCTGCCCAGGGACCCAGGATGACTGTTCCCGGTGTGCAGTCTAACCCTGAAGGTCCTTTGGGCAGCTGTGACCAGCTCCGGTTCTGGCCTTCGAGGCCTCCGCCCTTACAGCTTGGCCTCAGCGATCGAACGGCACCCCCTGCCCCAGGCCTAGCCCCAGGCTGCACCTCCTCACCCAGCTAGGCCCCAAGGAGGCCCCCGAGGCCAAGGGTGGGATGGGCTATCCAGCCCACAGGCAGACGTCACTCAGATGTAGCTTCAGGTGGCACATCAGGGGACTTCTAGGAGGGAAGGCCACACCCCATCACCAGAGAGTCCTCTCCCCGCGCCGGGGGCACCCAGGGGGGGCAGTGGCGAGGGTTCTGAAGGCAGGGAGGCCCCTTCATGCCACAGATGCCAAACCAGTGCATGGTGTGTCTGGGGCAGAAGCAGCAGTGCCCCGGGGAGCCCACAAGTGAGGAGCGTGGTCCCCAAGGCTGCCAGTGGCACCTGATGAAGTTTTGAGTATAAACACCACCTTTGTCCGGCTGGTATGGCTCAGGAGGTCATGGTCCGATTCCCGGTCAGGGCACATGGCTCAGTTGTGGGCTCGATCCCCAGTGTGAGGCGTGCAGGAGGCAGCCAATCAATGATTCCCTCTCATCATTGATGTTTCTATCTCTCTCTCCTTCTCCCTCTCTCTGTGAAATCAATAAAAATATTGATTTAAATAAATAAATAAATAAATAAATAAACACCACCTTCCCCTCCCTCCAGAGCACCTGTGAGACGATGCCAAACCACTCTGAAACCATCAGCCACACTGTGACTGTGCCCCTGCAGACGGCCCTGGGGACCTTGGAGGAGATCGCCTGCTGACAGCCCTCGGAGCGCCCGGCACCCCCAAGCAGACCCTGAGGCCCAAGACCCGGGACAGGGGACAGCAGGCTCAGGCGGGATGGCCCCCGATGACGGAAAGCAGCAAGAGCCCCCTATGCACACATAGCAAACTCTCTGCCAAAACCTCGCTGCGGCCACGTGGACGCGGCCCGTCCTCGGTCCCCGCCGTGCGTCCCTCTTAGGAGACATGAGACACATTCTGGAACAGTCCAAGGACCAACCTGCCATCACATCTCACTGCCAGATGTAGAAAGCACCTGCATGCTCAGACTTCTCACGGCGCCACCTCCACGTCTGTCTGTGTACGAGACGCTCCGCTGCACGGTTCCGCCGCGGTGGGACCGGGTTCCGGCCCCCAGTCACCGCGAGGCCACAGCTGGAATCGCAGCTGCACAATCGAGGGAAACCGCAGAACTGTCGGCTACGTCCGGTCCTTGTGTGGTTCGTGAAGGTCCTTAACCTGCCCACAGTCCCCTTCCCGCCCCAGCCAACCCACCCCCACCCCCCGCCGGGGGACCGGCCGAGCCCCTCCAACCCCAGCGCCTGTGACGGAGGCCTGTGGCCTGGTGACTCCGGCCCGTGTCCGTGGCTCCCACGCGTTCTGCCCTCCCTGTGACATGGCTTGTACAGTCCGATTCTGTCTTTGGGGGGTTTACTGTCTGTCAGAAGTCCGTTTGGTTTTGTTTTCTGATCTTTGGGTTTGCTGTTCTGAGTTCGGTTTGGTTTTCCCATTTTCTCTGGCGTTTATTTATTCGTGCTTCCCGTCACGGTCATATTAAAGCTGGTCTTGTGGAAGTGGCTCCACGGTGTCTGCCTCCTCCCACCCTCAGGTCTCTCTCCCCACGCACCTAGGAAAGGGCCAGACCTCCCAGGCCAAAGACCACAGGTTCTGTCAAGTTTTGTGCAGCAACACTTACTAATCTTTAACAACTACTGATCGTGACCTTGTAAATGACTTCAGGACCCACTCACAGACGGGTCATAGCCCAGGGTCTGAATGACTCGCCTGGACCGTGGCGTGAAGAGGGAAGGCGGAGAACGCGCCCAGACACAAAAACCATAGAGGAGGCCTTCACGCTTTCTGCTCTCCACCTTGGGCTGCACACAGGCCCAGCGTGGCCTCCCTCCCACACACCAGCACTCCAGGACCCTCTCTGTGCCTCAGCTCTTCACCCATCACACAGACTGCTTGTCCCTGTAGGGGTCACCTTTGCATTTGGCCTCGCTCCTCATAAGTCCTCAGAGGTTGTCCAGATGGGAAAGGAGGTGGGGAGGGGCCTTTAGGCTGCAGGGGGGCTGCTCCTTCCAGCCCTGGGTGGCAAAAGAGAGCTTGCTGTTCAGGCAGAATCCTTGTGCAATCATTTCTCCAGATGCTGCCAGGGCACAGGCATCCCTCTCCTGAGACAAAGTCACTCCTCACTGCTTCAGGCTGGAAGATATCCTGCTGGTGCCCAGAGGGTCGGAGGCAGAAGAGCATAGTGTCCTCGGGCGCTCCCATCAGAGCCAGGAGCCAAACGACATGCCTATTCAGTGAGTTTGGAAACTATCAGATGCTCGGCTTTGTCCCAGTTTAACAGTTTCATCAATTTTTTAAAATCTATAGATTAAGTTGCAATTCCACCTGCTTCGTTGGATTTCTGGCTTCCTTTAAAAAGCACACACGCACACACAAACAACCTCAGATCAATGTGAGATGGAGCAAAGAATATTCGAGCGGGTTTGCATTGCTTCCGGCCTCCCATACGTTATGTGCTCCTTCTGATTGGGGGATTCTGGCTTTGCTCACCTTGGAGCAGGTCTACAGGCTTAACCTGCTTAAAGGGGAAAAGGCAGGAAATTCAAGATAGCAAGTCAATAGCCAACTACTGATTATTATTGACTGGTTGTTAACCAACGACCTAGTTGTCTGCCTGAACTCCTGGGAGTGGCCGGGTGTTTTCTATTATCCTCACTTCAAACAAATAACCATTTTTGCAATCATTTCCTTCGTGGAGGCCTGGGAGGTCGGTGCACAGAGGAGACACGGGGATGTGTCCCATTTTGAGAGTGACCCCAAGGACAACAAACAGCCAGCAGTCTGGACCAATCACAAGCCGGAACGTCAACGTTGGATTATCAGTGACCTTAAAGCAGTGGTTCTCAACCTTCTGGCCCTTTAAATAGTTCCTCATGTTGTGACCCAACCATAACATTATTTTCGTTGCTACTTCCTAACTGTAATGTTGCTACTGTTATGAATCATAATGTAAATATCTGATATGCAGGATGGTCTTAGGCGACCCCTGTGAAAGGGTCATTCGACCGCCAAAGGGGTCTCGACCCACAGGTTGAGAACCGCTGCCTTAAAGGGTGAGATCAATCAATCAATCAATAAATAAATAAATAAAATGGTGGCACCTGACCCCAGAAACAGAAGCAGTGGAGTCTGCAGTTGGGGAGAGAGAAAGGACAAAGCACTTCTGTGAGCAGCCATCCCAGACGGGGCCACTGCTTACACGCTCCTGCTTTGTTGTTTTTGGCAAAGAGAGGCCAGAGGTCATTTGTGTTCCCCTTTCCAGCTGCAGCTATTTTTTTAATTTATTGATTGATTTTAGAGAGAAGGGATGGGAGAGAGGGGGTGATAGAAGAAGGGAAAGAGCGAGAGAGAAACGTCGATTTGCTGTTCCACTTATTCATGCACTCATTGGTTGATTCTTGCATGTGCCCTGACCGGGGATCAAACCTGCAACCTTGGCATATTGGGGACGACACTCTAATCCCTGTTCTTCTAAGAGTCTTAACCATGAACCCCCTTCGTGAGAAAGGGCCCCGAGAGGGGGTCCGGAGAAAGGTGCTTGGTGAGCTGGGAAGGAGGGGTCCGAGGCAGGCTTCCCCGCAGGTAACGCTCAGCTCAGCCTGAGAGGCCACGGAGAGACCTGGGAGCTCTTCCTCCACACACTCAGAGATTTCCGTTCCATCGTGAGACCCAAACTCAGTGCAGGGGGGAGGGCCTCCAGAAAGTGCCGGTGAATATGCTCCCCGTTACAGAGACGCCAGGGAGGCTCGAGAGCCAAGAACGCGCTTCCACGGGGACTGTCACCAGGCCAGACCCACGCCGAGCCAGCAGGCCCTGGGACGCACAGAGCACGCTTCCTGGCACCGCTGGGAAGGCAGCAGGGCAACACAGGAAGAGGAGACAAGACACAGCCTCGCCATTCATCCCACTCCTCTTGATTGTTTGCCCAGTCTGTACCGGGCACCTGCCCTCCAGGAATGATCATGTGAGTCCTCCAGGAAACAGACACCTAGGAAAGATGAATCGGAGTTTTGTGGTCGAAGGAGAGTGAGTCAGCGGCACATGCAAAGCCTGGGAGGCAGGGGCGGGGGGGAGGGGGAGGAGAGCGTGGAAAATACACAGCCCAGGGACTGCGCAGAGGTCCAGGGCACCCAAGCATAGAAGTCAAAGGGGAGTGTCCAAAGTGACCGCGGAGAGAGTGGCAGGTGCCCCGGGTGAAGGGCGGGTTCAGCACGCTGAGGGTGCATCAGAGCTGAAGTCCTGCGAGTCCCTTCCTCTGATCTCCCAGGGTCTGAGATGTTTCCCAAAGCAAAGGTTGATTTCTTTAGCTAATGGCTTTCTCCCCGCTCCTGTGAGGATCCCGGCACGTGGAAGCACGTTGTACATCATCTGTGTTCTCCTAAGGCTGGTAGGTGGAACGTGTTTGGGGCCGTGCAGTTCAGGGGACTGTAACCCAGGGCAGCGGCAGCACCCACCTGAGGACAGGTGAGAGGAGAGCTGCTTACGAATCCAATTTAACATTCAGTAAAACCTGTGCTCTCGGCCTTTGTAGGAGCAATCGGTTAGTAAAGGCTTTTGACAGAGTCTCGAAAAACAGCATTTCTAACCCATTTCTGTTATAAACCACTCATATACCTCTGGACAATTTACTCCATTTTTCTAAGCCTAAGTTCCCTCCTTTATAAAAGGAGAGGAAAACCCTAGCAAGTTTGGCTCAGTGAATAGAACATCGGCCTGTGGACTGAAGGGTCCCGGGTTTGATTCCGGTCAAGGACATATACCTCACTTGTATGCCAGCCCTGGTCGGGGTGTATGCGGTAGGTAGCTGATCAATGTGCTCCCTCACATCGATGTTTCTCTCTGTGTGTCTCTCCCCCTCCCTCCATTCTCTCTAAAAATCAGATGTTTCTCTCTGTGTGTCTCTCTCCCTTTCTTCCACTCTCTCTAAAAATCAGTGGAAAATATCCTCAGATGAGGATTAACAAAACTAAAAAATAATAAAAGGAAAGGGGATGGAAAATAAACAGCAAATCTCTTTGGTGCGTCCACTCTAACAGTCTCTGAGTCTAAGTGGACGATGGGGTCAGGTACCTAAGCAGCTATTTCATTCCCTGCTGCTAGCCTCTATTTCCCACCTATACCATGGAGATGAGGGTGCCTAGTTTTCAGGGTTATTATGGGGTCAAATGAGCTAAGGTATATACTTTCTATCTTTTCTTATTTTCTTTCTTTCTTCCAGTAAAACATTGATCTCACTCGGATACTTGTATGGATTAAAAACAAGGTGAAAGCTATGAACTTTCTCCCAGAAAACAAAAATGAACAGGGTCACATAGATCATCATAAAACGTGCACTCCATCTGAGGAGGAGGCTGGAGCCCCAGAGCCTGTGTGTGACCCCTGAGGGACGCACGGATGCCCGGCCTTGCCGCCTGGTCCCGAAAGTATTAACCTCTCCTCCCGGAGATCACCACGGTACCACGAGGAGCACCCAATGTTTCCCCTAATATGCCCTAATGACTGCCATTTTTCAATTCACAGGAGGGGGGGGGGGGAGTGACAGGCAGGATTTGATCAATTTCAGGATTTCCCTCCCATCATTTTTTTAAACCTTTGTCACCTACTGCAGCTTGTGCACTGAGAGCTCACAGATGGCGAGATGAATGAGCAGAAAATGGATGTGAACCGAGAACCTTGGAGCTGTGATTTCGTAAAATTACCTTATTCATGTGCTGATTGGGAGGGCTGAGGAGACCTGCAGATGGAAAGCAACTGCAGCCTCGCTTTGCAAACATCCCTGTGGCCTGGTTCTTAAGAAATGAGACCACGTGTGCCCTGCACATGGGAAATGCATGTATAATGTCCTCTGGCTGCCGCTGAGCCCCCGGACATGCACCACTGTTGACATCTCATTCATTTCTGAGCAGAACTGCAATGAGGCTCTTTTTTTTTAAGAAAGAGAGAGGGGGGGGGAGAGAGAGAGGAAGAGATAAAGAGCGAGGGAAGGAGGGAAAAAAGGAAGGAAAGACAGGAAGGAAGGAAAGAAGTAAGGAAGGAAGGAAGGAAGGAAGGGAGGAAGGAAAAAGGAAAGAAGGAAAGAAGAAAAAACTATCCTCCTGGCAATGGCTGTGAGTGACACCTTGTGTGGAGAGCGGCTACAGTGTTTGGACAGGTTCAAGCCTCGGACTAATGAGAGGGCACAGTCCTCTCATTGCCACGTGCAAGTCCCAGCTTGGAGGGCAAAGCCCTCCCAGCACAATTATAGCCAGAGGCTATAGTTGTAAACTTGAACCTATGGTCCAAACACGTGGCCCCACGTGTCTGAGTGATGTGGGCTTAAGAGAGTTCAGGTGCATGTAATTGAGTAGATTTGAAACCCATGAGAATGTTGTAACCACACCCTTACTTTGCCTCGTGGAATCTGGCTATGAAATAAAGAGACGGCTTACAAGCTGTGGCACTGTCTCTCTCCATCTGAGAGGGCAGCATCCCACCCAGACCCAGCTTTCTTCTCTTGTCTGTCTTTTCTAAATCCTTCACCTCCCCCTCTCAGGTTCACCCTTGGCCGTGCTGGCGCAGCAAAGCCTTGGGGTGGGGAATTTGGATGTCTAGCCTCCTTAAAGCTGGTCTTCACTCCAGGTCTCTGAAGGAGGTGGCTCATTGGCTAACTTATCACCATATGGCCATTTGTCTTTAGTGTAATTCAGACATCAGGGCTTCCTTTCTAAAGGAATTACATCCAAGTTAAAGAAGCCCAACACAAGTGATTGGTGGGCACCAAAGAATACCTAGCTCGCCTGGCTAGCGTGGCTCAATGGTTCATCGTCGACCTATGAACCAGGAGGTCACGGCTCGATTCCTGGTCAGGGCACATACCCTGGTTGCGGGCTCGATCCCCAGTGTGGGGTGTGCAGGAGGCAGCCAATCAATGATTCTCTCTCATCATTAATGTTTCTTATGGAGAGCGGCTACAGCGTTTGGACAGGTTCAAGCCTCGGACTAATGAGAGGGCACAGTCCTCTCGTGGCAAAGCCATGTGCAAGTCCCAGCTTGGAGGGCAAAGCCCTCCCAGCACAATTACTGTATAGCCAAAGGCTATGGTTATAAGTTTGACCTTATGGTCTGAACCCGTGGTCCCAGGTGGCTGAATGATATGGGCTGCGGGAGGTGCAGCAAGTGCTGCCAAAACAAAGCTTGATCAGGTGCATGTAATTGAGTAGATTGGAAACCCTCGAGAACATTGTGAACATCTTGACCACGCCCTTACTTTGCCTCGTGGGATCTGACTATAAAATAAAGACTCGGCTTGCAGGCTGTGTCACTGTCTCTCCCTTCGAGAGCAGCGCCCCATCTAGCTCCAGCTTTATTCTCTTGTCTGTCTTCTTTAATCCTTCACGGCCCTCTCTCAGGTTCACCCCTGGCTGTGCTGAGCGCGGCACAGTTTCTATCTCCTTCCCCCTCTCCCTTCCTCTCTAAAATCAATAAAAATGTATATTCTTTAAAAAGAATACCCAGCTCAACCCACTTTAGAGGGAAGAGTGTCAGGAAGCCACTGGAAGAAGACTTCCCAGTGGTGGGGTGGTGGGGACGGGGGTCTCTGGCCAGACTCCCTCCACGAGCATTTTCCGTGTGCCCACTGTGTGGCAGGCACTGTACTAGGCACCGGGGGTTCATAGATCCAGAAGACAGAATCTCAGGGGAGCTCAGAGTCTAGTCAGGCAGAGGAGGGCAACGACATGCACACAAGACTGTGAGGGTGGAGGTGCACAAGGCCCACCACACCCACAGGAGAGCGACTGTCTGCCGGGCTAAGGCTGAGCAGGTTTGGGCTGCAGCCTTGAGGGACGTGGAAGCTGCCTGGCAGGCAGGCTTGCAGAAGAGATTCCTGAGCAAAGGCTTGGAGGCAGAGGAGGACTTAGGGTTGGTCGGAAAAGTCACTGTGAGGAGGCAAAATTGAGACAAGACCTGCCTGAAGAAAAAGGAATAGCCACTCACAGCTCTGAGGATGGCGAATGGGAGGGGCGCGTTTATTGCTGAAGTGCAGTGAGGGGGGAATGGTAGGTGGTGGGGAAAGGTAGGAAGCAGCATGCTACCCTCAGGGAACCAGAAGGCAGGGATACAAACCAGCCAGAGCAAATGTTCTCAGCAGTTGCGAAATGACTGCATGACCCTGGGTCAGGAAAGAACTGGGGTGCCAAGCCGAGGAACTCGGCCTTTAACCCGAAAGTGAGAAAAGCCGCTGGGCCAGGATGCAAGGCAGTAAGAGGCAGAGAGCTCACACTGAGGGGCAGGTCGATGGCGAGGGATCCCCTGCAAGGCCACGGCGGTGGTCCTAGGGAAAAGTGACGGGGCTTGATGTAACAAAGGGTTATCTGGGATGGAAGTAAGGTCAGGCTCCAGATATATTTTTTTAAAGTAGAATAGACAGAACATAGTGACCAGTGGAATGTGGGGTGAGAGAGTGACGTGGAAGCAGGGAGACTCCAGGACACAGCCTGGTTTCTCTAACCAGCCTGAGCCTGTCACCAGCACCTGGGACTTCCAGGTGGGCCCAGAGACCATCCACCCTCATGCACAAGTGAGGGCTGCCTGACTTCGGCCAGGACTCTCTCCCCTGGATACTGCTCTTCCATCTCCACCTGCTCCTGGGCAACCACTGAGCAAAACCGGCCAGGGCATCGGGCTTCCTGTTTTTGTTATCATTGTTTTGTTTGCTTGCTTGCTTGCTTGTTTTGATAAATCTGGCAAACCTAGATTCAGGGAAAGGGTCTAGGAAACTGCTAGGTGTGGTCTGGGAGACACTGAGCCCCCGGCCCCCAGGCCTCCCAGGAATGCGGGCCAGCCTTCCACGTAGGCTTTTTGGAGCCTCGCTTAAGCCCAGCCCCAGTGGACAGGTGAAGAAACCCCGAGATGCTCTGGCTCCAACAGGCCACCTGAAATCACAGTGACAGCTGAGAAACACACGTGTGTTAAACTATTCTTTATCAATTGCCTTGTGCTCCTTCCTGGGCAGGACCCCCACCACACACAGCCCACCCCCCAGCCTGCTGTGCATGGCCCGGTCCGTCCAGAGAGGATCCTAGAAGGTGCAGCCATCCACCCAGTCGCTGAGGTCCTTGCCCAGGCAGTGATGCTTCCAGGCCTCCCTGGGGATGGAGAGTGGGGGAGAGGAGAGACCCAGTCAGAGACAGCCTCAGTCCCTGTTCAGAGAAGAACAGGAAGGAGTGTAGGCTCTAAACCAGAAATTAGGTGGGGACAGGGGCTAGCAAGGAAAAGAGAGGAAAGCAAACTGTGTTAACTGTCAAAAAACCCCCTAGAACAGCGGTTCTCAACCTGTGGCTCGCCACCCCTTTGGCAGTCGAACAACCCTTTCACAGGGGTCACCTAAGACCATCCTGCATATCAGATATTTACATTGCGATTCATAACAGTAGCAACATTACAGTTATGAAGTAGCAACGAAAATAATTTTTCGGTTGGGTCACCACATGAGGAACTGTATTTAAAGGGCCAGAAGGTTGAGAACCACTGCAGGCTAAGTGAAGCTCCCATCAGAAGAGGCTGGGAAGCTGTTGGGCCACTGCGTCCGAGGACGACCTGTGAACCAAAGACCTAGCCTCATGCCCCATCGATGCCCATCCCACCCCCGTGCCTGTGAGGAGGGCTTCCCATCATGTGGGAAAGGAGTGGGAAAGGAGAAGGCTGACAGGCTGAGGCCCCAGAGAGCCCACCCTGCTCGGGCAGGAATCTATTGTTTCATCTGTTGCACATCGTGGGTCTTTATATGGAAGTTAGTTTAGACAAAGATGCCATGGTTCAAAAATATTTACTAGA